CAAGATTTCATTCCTTTTTATGGCTGAGTCATATTCCATTATAAATACACACATATATATCTGTATCTGTCTATATCTGTCTATATCTATCTATATCTCACATCTTCTTTATCATGTGGTTTAGCTTCTTTACCTCAAGGCCACCATATGTCTGAATGACCCAAGACAAAAATAGCACTCCATTCTTCTCGGAGTATTTTCAAGAAAATGGAAACACTTACTGTCCCCAGTCACCCATACTGATGCTTGCTGCTTTGCTATAAGCCCACTTTCCTTAAAGATTGAGCTGAAGGGGTTTGAGATTCCCTCCACAATGTGCCACTTTGGCATTTGCATTATTTTGAGCTGAAGACAATTGAGACCCTGTGGTCTCAAGAGAAACCTTTGTCCCTCTCTTAACTACACAGAAGAATCTAAATCGGAAGGTCTCTCCAGAATAAGGTTGTTAGTACAGACAATTTTTTAAAAGATGCATTTATTTGGGTGCCTGGGTGGCTCAGTGGGTTAAAAGCCTCTGCCTTCGGCTTGGGTCATGATCCCAGGGTCCTGGGTTTGAGCCCCACATCAGGCTCTCTGCTCGGCAGGGAACCTGCTTCCCTTCCTCTCTCTCTGCCTGCCTCTCTGCCTACTTGTGACCTCCTTCTGTCAAATAAATAAATAAAATATTTAAAAAAAATAAAAGATACATTTATTTATTTTAGAGGGGGATTGAGAGAGAGAGAGAGTGCGCGCATGAGTCAGGGGTAGGAGGGGGTGGACAGAGGAAGAGGGAGGGAGAATCTCAAGCAGACTCCACGGTGAGTGTAGAACCTGACCCTGGGCTCCATCCCACACTCTGAGATCATGACCTGACCCAAAACCAAGAGTTGGACACTTAACTGCACCACCCAGGCACACCACAAAGATAAATTTTATCTGAATGATCGATCTGTGTGGCTGGGCAAACATCTGGTCACCAAACATCTCCTCTTCTGATTGCCCTGTGAATTACATTTCTTTCCTCTTAAGTCCCAGACCTCTAGCCCCTTCTCCTTAGTTCAGAAGGACATATACTTCATTTTGCCTGACTGTCTTGGGAATTTCCATGACTGTGTGGATTCCCTATAGGTATGCAATTAAATTTGATTTTCTCTTGTTAAGGTTTTATGTCAATTTGATTCTTAGTCCAGCTAGAAGGACTCAGGAAAGGGACAGGAATGCTTGCTCCCTGCCATAGCTTCTCCACGAAAGCACTTTAGAGGGTAGCAAAATCATCCCTCAGCCTTCCCGTCCCTAAGTGCCAGTAGTGAGAAACCACCGCTGCTCACTCAGCCCGGCTCTCAACAAAACAGCTGAGCTGTGAATGCCCAAGCAGGCATTGTATGCAGTGGGACGGTGGTGGGCCTGGAAAGCAGGCCTGGGCACTGCAGCTGCTCCTCTCCTACTTACTGTTACTCCCAAACGAATGTGGGCTGCATTTTGAGAGAGCTTATGAATTACCCAGAGAAGCTGGAAATCTGTAGGTGCAAGTGAAATTCTTGATTTTTTAAAATGTGGGCAACTAGTTTAATTTTTTTTTTTTTAAACTGTAAATCAGGGAAAATCAACAAGAAGAAGAACTAAACCCAAAACACCTCTGTGGGCTGCACGTGGCTTAGCATAGAGTTGCCCAGGACCTGGTGTGCCCCCTTTGATACTTGTCACCAGAACTTACCTTAGATTGGTTGATTGGGTCTCTGCCTTAAGCCCCAGGCTTTAATTGGCTTGACTGCCGTCCTGTCTCTTCTAAACCATGCTCCTGGCTCACTGGACTCTGGGAAAAAGGGTCTACCCCCAAAGCCCCAGTCTGTTTCCAGAGCCTCCAGCCTTCAAGCCTTCTTGTTCCTCTTGGTGTGGGCATCTGTACCCCAGAGGGATGGCCAAGGGATGGCTGTTTGCAGAGTGGGGGCTGTGAAGAAATAACGGGAGTTCCCTGGGTCCCTAGAGGCAAGTGCAAAGAGAAGGAGCAGGCCAGCCAGCCAGGGTCCTGTATTTCTATGCTTGTCCCTGGCACAGCAACTGTTTGGGGTGGGCCTGGTTGTATGCCCAGTGTGCGTGCGTGAGGCTGTCCAGTGCGCTGCCCTGGGCCAGGCAGCTCTGAGCATGCCTACAAGTAGCTGCCCCACTTTACAGATGAAGAAACCAAGGACGGTGCAGTAAGTTGTCCACAGCTAGTGCGTGGCGGAGTTAGGATTGAAGCCACAGCTTGTAAGAGAGGACTGGCTGCCCGGCCAGCCCACTGTGGAATGGGCGCAGTCTCCGCAGCCCCCACCAGCCGGCCAGCTCGCAGGGGTGTGGGGTGGCAAGGACCCCGAGGCCTCCCTCTGCCGGGCCTGGCCTCCGGGGCAGGGGGCTCGAGGAGCGCCTGCTGGGGGGCTAAGGGAGGGCCGACCCCCTGCCAGGCCTCCCTCCGCCCCAGCCCCCGGCCCGCCTCGAGCCAGCGGGGACGGCGGTGCCTGGTAGCTGGAGATTTGGATGAGCCCCCCAGCCCCCACCTGGGGGTTTGGCGCCCGGGGACTTTATCTTGATTCCTTCGGACAGCCCAGCTCCTTCCCGGCATGCCCCGCTCGCAGGAGCCGCCCGCGAGTCCCGCGCCCGGACTTTGCTATCAGCGGGGGCCCGGCGGCCGGAGCGCCCCCGGATGCGTCCTGCGGCCCCGGCCTGAGGTGGGTGGGCCTCGCCGAGTCCCGGTACAGCGGGAGTCGGGGTGCCGGGCGCGTCGGGGGCGGGGGAGCCGGAGATTGGGGCTGATGACTGGGAGGTGGGGGGGAGGGCGGCCGCCCCTTTGTTGGGGCCGCGGAGCCCTTGCGGCGCAGCGGGGCCGCCGGAAAGTTACGCAAAGTTGCAGCTGCGCGCGTGGGAGCCCCGCGCCGGGCCCGGTGGGGGTCCCTTCCTCCGACCTGGGTGTGGGGGCGGCTGTTTTGGGTGGCAGGGGCTTGGGGCTATTTTATCCGGGTAGATTTAGAACTCCATGGAGGAGAAGGGGGTGGGACACACGCACACACACATCTTGGTGGATTTCGAATTCTGTGGCGGAGAAGGGGTGGGACACCCACGGGACACCCATCCACCCACCCACGCACACACACATCCTGGTGGATTTCGAATTCTATGGCGGAGAAGGGATGGGACACACACACACACACACACACTCCAAGAAACGAGACCTACCCAAGCTTATACAAAGAAGAGACAAAAACTCATCCTGAAACACACACAAAAGAAGAAAACACACAAAGACTCATACGGACAAATCACGGAGTAAGGCAGCAAAAACTCAGAGAGCTTGTCAGCTTCAGAGAAACACACTCAAGCGTCTGCAGGAAGAGAGGAAACAAAGCGGGTGGTCTTGGAGGCCCGTGGCGCAGGGGGAGGGGAAAGGGAAGACTGGGGAGGGGGTAACATGTCTAGAGGGGAAAATGGAGAGATACAGAGACAGAGACACAGAAATAAGAGAAGAAAGAAAAGGGCCTAAAGGAGGTAGCCCTTTAGGAGGGATGGTGTATAGACACACATCTGGAGAACTTGAGCAGACACTGGGAATTACCTCCTGCCTCCTCCAACCCCCAGGGGAGATGCAGAAATGAAAGAGACAGACCCTAACCTTCTCACCCCGCTGAGCAAGTAAATTTGAGATGGTAGAGCAGGTGCTCTGTGGAACCTTTGAGAAAGGCCTCCTGGGCACTTTGAGCCAACCAAGTTGGCATGCTGTCCACCCAGCAAACTCCTACTCATCCTTCAAAACCCAGATCAGATGTCACCTGCCCTGCAAAGCAGGCAGTTAGCCTGCAAGCACAGTTGCAAGCACGGTTGCCTCTAGTCTGTGTACCCTGCCATGTAGCATAGACACAGGGAGTTGAGGAGCCAGAGAAGAGGTTGACAAGCAAGCAGCAAACATTGGTCTGCCTGTCTTCCTCTTTCTCCCTCCTCAGGGTTTGGGGTCCATTTCTGATTTATCTGCAGTCTTCAGAATCCTGCCTAGTGCTCGGTGCCTAGCAGATGACCAATAAATGCTTATTGAATGACAGTTGGGAACATTTGGACCCTCGGAGACATGTAGTGTAGAATAAGTCCATCGTCCTGGATTCCTAGATCAAAGCCCCTCTTTTGCAGGTGGAAAAATTAAAGCCCAGACAGGGGAAGAGACTTGCTCAAAGAAACAGAAGTAGGAACCTGCAATGAGTATATACTTTTCTTAGGTGCCCCATTCCTCTGCGGGAGTCCAATATAGGTGTGGAAGAACCTCCTGAGTGAAAACAGGCAGTAGGCAAAGAACACTTTAACACCATCTGTTAAGTTTCCAACACTGAAACTGACAGTCAAATCCCTTTCCAGAATTTTTAGAATCTTCTTCCCTTCTTAGAAAGGGAAAGGGAGGTGAATGCCCATCTCAATTTAAGTGGATGGGTTTCTACTTTCTGACTACAGAAACTCGGACAAATTTCTTAACTTCCCCAAACCTTAGTTTTCTCAACTGTAAAATGGGGATATTAATACCTACCTCAGGGTTAACACACAAAGTGTCTGGCATGGTGGAGATTCTCAGTAAATGCCATCCTGCCCTTCTTGGGAGAATATTCTCTCCTGCACTCAGTGGAGCTGTGAAACAATAGTGCTCATTAAAATGTGTCCTTCTGTCCAGGTTTAAAAGACCATCCTGGTCCAGCAGGTGGCAAACTCTTAATTAAACAAAAGGCAAATTTGGGGCAGGACATAAAATGCATCTTGATTCTGTTTAGGCCCTCAGGTCTCTGGAGTGGGAACCTGGCTCTCTGTGCCCCCCACCCCCAGCAGGTAACTTGGTCTCTGCAGGTGACTTGGGGGGACATGGCTCTTGCTGCACCCCCTCCCCCAGCAGGTAAGACCCCCTCTGCCCCACTCTCTTATGCTACTATGTTACCAAGGCTTCTTCTGCCCTTGTGTCTTCTAAGATTGAGCCCATGCTGGGCATGTGACGGGGACGGAGGGAGCCACCCAGAAGCATGGAGACTGTGGTGATTGTCGCCATAGGCGTGCTGGCCACCATCTTCCTGGCCTCATTTGCAGCCTTGGTGGTGGTTTGCAGGCAGCGGTATTGCCGGCCTCGGGATCTGCTGCAGCGCTATGATTCCAAGTGAGTGTGCCCAGGGAGGGCAAGGAGGAGAGGTGGGCTCCTCCAGGGGCTCCAGCAACCGGAAAGGAGAGGGGCCCAAGAAGTTTGGCACTGGGCAACTCCGGCTCAGTTTTTTGTCTCTAAAATGGTACTTGAAGGCTTCCTTTCCAAGAGAGAACTTAGAACTTCAGCAATGTCCCTGAGCAAAGGAGAAATTCCCTGAATGTGTTCACACAGCACAAAGATGTGGCCATCTCTCCAGAACTGGCCACTCTGCTTGGCCTATGAATAAGCCCAGCGTCTTTCCAACCAAACTCATAGGAGCAGAAATCCCATGCCTGAACTCCAGCCACACACAGAAATGGCAAGATCCTGGATTTTGTGAAATCCCAGCATAGGACTGTCTCCTTCTTGGCACAGATTTCTTCCTGATGCCTTTTGTGTGCAAGAGATTTTATGAGCAAGATCCTATTCTCCGTTCAGGGATGTTTTAATTGATAGGCCCCTAAGGAACCCTGGCAACTAACCCTTGGTTTCTTTTACCCCTCTACTGAATCCTATCAGCGTCTCTGTCCAGGGGTGAATAATTTGTAAATGCCTGTTTATATGACCCAGAAAAGCTCTGCTATTGAACGGAAGTCTATGTTTGTCAAGAACCTCATTGTAAAGTAGTTGTTGTTACTTCTCCTGTAGAATGAGGAGGGGGTGGGGTTATGCGGGCAGACCAGCGTCCTTCCAGTCCTTCCTGAGAGCGATTCTGCAGACCAGATAGGTTTGAGTAATAGGAACGTCAGCTTCTCCGTATAAGGTAGGCTTAAAGGGGAAATAAGGTTTTTTGTTTTGCTTTGTTTGGTTATTTGTTTTTCTTAAGTAGGCTCCAAGCTGGGCATGAGGGCCAACACAGGGCTTGAACTCACAATCTTAAGATCAAGACCTGAGCTGAGAGAAGAGTCAGATGCATAACTGACTGAGCCCCCGGGCTCCCCAAAGAGAAAATAAGTTTCAAAAGTATGTTCTTCTGTGTGGAAGGAGCAGACTTAAGATGTCTCTATTTATGGCTGTGGCTCTGCTCGTCTCTTAGTGGCTCCTCTCATTCTGCTTCACTTTTCTTCTTTGCACCCCGGCCTGCCTCCTCCACCCGCCTCCAGCCATGTGTCCTGCCTGCATCTGCAGTCCCACTGGGGTTAGTCCTGGATCCGGGACACGAGGTCAATGTCCTCCTTACTAACTTCCTACATCCTGTTGGGGGATACATGGGTCTCGGTGAGGAGGGGGTCAGCAACAGCCACCCATCCTGAAACCACTTTCCTGGGCTTTTCCTTCCAGGCCCATTGTGGACCTCATCGGTGCCATGGAGACACAGTCGGAGCCATCAGAGGTAGAGCTAGACGATGTGGTCATTACCAACCCTCACATCGAGGCCATTCTGGAGAACGAAGACTGGATTGAAGATGCCTCGTAAGGCCTTAGGGATCGTTTTGTTTGCTACACTCCCCTGAGGATGGCACACGGGGTCTCTGGGTGCCCCTTTCCGGCTTCCTTTGCCAAGCACTACTGGGTGTCCGGGAGCACTGTGGCCCCTGCTGCTCTTGTTGGGGGTGGGGATCAGATTATGGTATGACAGTGATTGTGCCCCTCCCCCTCCCCATTTTGTACACCTAAACACTGAGGCCCATAGATGTGTGGCAGAAGTTGCAAAGTGACCCTGACATGCCTGGGTTATCCCTGGGGTGAAGTTTGCACGCAGGCTTCGGGGATGAAGCCTTTGTCTTCAGGGTCCCTCAGGGACCCCTCTATCCAGCAGGAGCCGCTACCTGTTGACACATGTATGCTGCTCCGAACCCTTATTGTTCACTGGGCGGATGTGAGGGGGGCCTTATGGGCAGGACACTGGGCCAGTTACTACAGATACTGAACTGGTGGGAGAGACAGAATTCTACAACACCCTATCTCCGAAGTGGGAGCGGGTCTCTGCATGGTGCCGTGGGCACACAGCGTTGGTGATCTCTAGAGCTGCCTGGGGTGGGGAGATGGAGGAGGCTTTCATGAAGGCTACCACAAATTAGGTGCCTTTTGACCTGGATCTTGAAAGATGAGATGGTCACCAGGCTGAGGATAAGGGGAAGGACACACGGGCTGGAGGGAGCAGTGTCAGAAGCTCAGAGTTCTAAGAATGACTTGACAGGTGAGCGCAACCTGGAAGAGGCAGCTGCGTGTGGGAGGGGGAAAGGGAAGGAAAGAAGGTGTCTCCTTATTTCGCTCCTCGACTTGTTCAGTTGAACCCGGAGGCATTCCTAGGTGGTGTCTAGGTGGGTCTGAGCTAGATGGGGGGCCAGATCTGGTCGTGGGAGCGAGGGGGACCTCAACAGAGAAGCACTGACAAGATTCTTCTTGTCTCCCCAGGGGTCTCATGTCCCACTGCATTGCCATCTTGAAGGTAATACTTTTAATTTCCCATGACGGAAGCGGGGCCGGGGTGGGGGGGCGGCGTGGGGGCGTGGTCATCAAAGCGCTGCGGTGCTCGGACTTGAAATGAGTCTTTCTAGGTAGGGCGCTGAATCCGTGCAAGAGGCTTTTTAAAAACAGGCCTGACACTTGGAATTTCTACTGTTTCTACTCCCACTTTAGCGCTCTCGTGACCCTTTCAAAGGTTTTGTTTTGCCTGGTCCTCCTGATACAGTGTTGCCACGGGGCAATGATCTCCCCAGCCCCTCCCCGGGCGCTTTCTTTCATTAACGAAGAGCTCAGCCCTTTGCTCAGCAAGTTGAGTTCCATGTCTGGACTTCTCCACTTACTAGAACGTTCCTCACGGGCCCTCTCTGGCTGGGACAGTAGTCTGTCGAGTGGGTCAGTCAGTGTTGGGAAATCCAAACCATGAGTACCTGAAGGTGGGTTGGATTCCTTCTCATTCTTGTCGCCTCCGCGATTGAGGGGAAAATTGCATCCAATTTGCATTTTGGCTAGGTTTTGTAGTTTGGGGTAATTTTTATAGCTTTAACATTTGTTTTTCAATTCTTGCCTGATAGAATAATAATAATAGTGAAGTATTTGGCCAGTGGCAGATATCGTTGTGTTCTTCATCTCAGTAACTTGGAAAACCACACATTTATCTTTTTGTCCAGTAATTATTCAACATTTCCAGAAAGACAGCTTTATCATTTCTTCAGTGTCACTCAGTACACCATATGAAAAAGCCTCTTGGGGTTCCTGGGTGGCTCAGTGGGTTGAGCGTCGGACTCTTAGCTCAGGTCTTGATCTCAGAGTTGTGAGTTCAAGCCCAGCGTTGGGCTTAAAAATAAGTAAATAAATAAATAAACAAGCAAGCTAAAAAAGTCGTTCATCTCTCCTCTTCTTTAGCTGTCTCTCTTAGGGGACAAAGGAGTGCCTAGTAGGAAATTATTGTCACAGAGTCCAGGATTACTTAATTCTAAGAAGCTCTCTGGGTGTGGATATGGTTACAGATAGATGGGGCTAATGACTTGAGCAGTAATGCTGTATTCCACTCCTGTCTCCCAGCTAGGATGCGTGCTGGGGCTAGGTTTTGTCTCTGTGCTAGCCTGTTGGAGGAGAAGGGTAAATGAGACCTGAGGTGGGGGATAAGGCAGCAGGAAGGATGCCTCCTGGATTGGAATCAATGGCCCATCCTGAGAGTCTCCCATCAAAAGAGCGGCCCTGGGATCGGACGTCTCTTTTGCTTGGCTGCCTGCCCTTGAGTCCCTGTGGCTGAGGCTCTCTACTGGGTGGTCCTTGGCCTTTCTGCCCTCCTTTCCAGCTTCGAATATGAGGCAGGTCATGGAACCTATTTGCCAGGGACACAAGTACATCAAGGAGGTGAGGAAGGGAGGTGGCCTTCCGCCTTGGGGTGGCCAGCACTGTTGATGGATGACAATAAAGGCCTTGTGTCATCGTCTTGCCTTTTCCCCGCCTTTTTTTTTTAAGCAAGAAACTGTCTTTTTTTTTTTTTTTAAGATTTTATTTATTTATTTGACAGAGATCACAAGTAGGCAGAGAGGCAGGCAGAGAGAGAGGGGGAAGCAGGCTCCCCACTGGGCAGAGAGCCCAATGCGGGGCTCGATCCCAGGACCCTGAGATCATGACCCAAGCTGAAGGCAGAGGCTTTAACCCACTGAGCTACCCAGGCACCCCATTCCCTGCTTTTTTTGAAGCCCCTTTCACCACCGTCCTCTTGATGGACGTACTAAGTGTCACCCTAGAAAGTCGTGGAACTCAGTGCCACTGTTGGTGGATGTACTTCAAGGGAACAGTTGCCCTTTGTCCAGCGGTGCTTCTGAGGGTGCCTCATGGGAGAGGTTTAGCCTTCTGGAAGACTAAGCCGTGAGGTGACGGAATAGAGAGAAAATAGTTTTTCCCCTCGAAACGAGAAGATGGAATTAGAACACATGATTTGTCTTAGACAGATTATTTCAGCTCAGACTTCTCTAAGTGGAAACCCTGACCCTGGTCTGAGGTTCCCACCCCACCCTCCTCACCCGGCCTTGTTCTCAGCTTCTGTCTCTCCCTCCTCTCGTCTCTGTGTGCTTTTGACCTCAACTTGCCCACTAGGTTACGGGGCCCCAAGGTATGAGATGGAACCCAAGATAGGGGTCATATTTGTTTGTGGGGGTGGCAGATGCTCTTGGGGGAGCCTGGGGCACCCCTCCTCACCACTCTCCTCCCTGCTGTGTTAGATTTGTCACACTCTGACAGAAAAACTTGTTGCCATGACAATGGGCTCCGGGGCCAAGATGAAGACCTCAGCCAGTGTCAGTGACATCATCGTGGTGGCCAAGCGGATCAGCCCCAGGTGAGTGAGGTCCCACACTCCATGGAGTGAGGGTGAGGGGAGGTCAGAAGCTGAGATGGCAGGTGGGCCAGGCTCCTCAAAGAAACCACACAGACAACTTTGGTTACTCATGTCCAGGACATTTACAGAGCGTTCAGGAGGGTTTAGGTACTGAGAGACCAAGCTTGGTGGTCTCACATGGTTCCCCCCACCTCCCACAGGTCTCCTCCAGTCAGCTTTTTGGGGAACTTAGCATGCGACTAGTGTGCTTCTAGTCCATTCTGCAGATCCTACTGTGGCTGCTCCCATACGAGCTGGGGTTGCCTTCCTTCCCTCCCTCCCAGGCTCTGGGCCAGTACGCACATTTCCCACTGGTGTCCACACCCCTCTATGCAGTGACCTGCAGGCCATGCCCCACCCTGCCCTATTTGTGCTGGAGACTAGTTTTGGGGACCCACTCCTTGCTACCTCCCTGTCACCCGCTGCCCTAATCATGGCCCAGGCAGTAGCCTCCAGGATTGGGTGGTGGTGGGGGACAGTGAAGCCATACTTCATTTCAGATCTCCCAAATTCCAGGCTGTCTGCAAAATCCCACGTGGGAGGCAGCCAGCAGGATTGCAGTCAACAACTACACCCCCTCATTTGGGCTTGACTTTGTGGAGAAATAGAAAGCCCTTTTCTTCCGCAGAAGGGTGGTACTGAGTTTGTGCTGCCATCTGGTGGCCGGTATGTGGATGTGCCGGAGTCGGGAGTTCTCCATGCTCAGGGTGTTCTCTTAATCAGCCGGGCCCCCTCCGTATCAGAGCGGTTCCTCCACATCCCTGGTGCGAATGGTGGCTTCCCTGTGAGTTCTGGGGGCTCTCGGTTTCCTGGTTGCGTGGCCTCGGGTAGACCACGAAGAGCCAGCCCAAGGAAGGAATATGAAAGAGTTGCTGCCTTTGAACTCTGTCCGGGAAGTTCAGTGAGTTGAGAAAGTAGGAGGGAGAGAATCCGGGGGACGGACTCAGCCCAGAACAGTTGTTGGCTTTCTCTGGAGTTGTCCCCGGGTGGGTGTGGTCACAGGACTTGTGTCAGCCCGGCCAGAAGGCGGTCCAGCCCAGGCTCTGGGCAGGCACCAGGCATTCCACTGGCCACCATTGTTGGTGGAGACCCTGTACTGCTCATCTCTGCTGGACCCTCGTCATGCTTCCCATGACGGTTGGCTCTGGTGCGAGAGGGCGGGTGTGGCGTTGTTCAGCAGGCATACATCACCGGGCACACTCTGGCCCTCCTACCGAGTCCCCTGGACTACTTCTAGAATGCTCTGTGCCGTAATTCAGTCTGTGCTTGCTTTGTCTTTTTGCCTTTACACGTCTTTCTCCTTCTGGCCATTTTGTGTGTGTGTGTGTCCCCGCTGTTTCTCTTGCTCCATTTACTCCACACAGCGTGTTGATAGCATATTAGTTTTGAGGTGAGTGGCTTCAGCTTCGAGACACTACAGAGAAAGGGGCCGGCAAAGACAGCAGCCCACAGTCCTCTGCATGTCCTCACCAGCCCCTCAGCCCCGAGACGAGAACATTGCAGACGTTTATTTTCAAAATCAAACATTGCATCATTATTTTTTCTTCCTATCAAGTGGTCCAGGAGCAAGGATTTAGATGAAAATCTTGAACCCTGCAAGTCGGAATGAATAGTAGTTCCTTTCTGAACTTGGTTTAAAAAACAAAACAAAACACCACGAATTGTACCATAATGGAAAGGAAATCCAATGAAGCAGTTTGGACCCAAATTAAACTTGTAGGGTTTTTTTTTTTTTCCTCCTAGTTTTTTCCTAATGTTGCACTGTTTTTAAAAACACAATGGTAAGTACTTATAAAAGTCAAAACATTGCAGAAATAGATTATCTGGAAAGTGAAGGAACCCCTAATTTCATCCCATCCCAATCCCTGGAGGGCGCACTAGTGAATGGTCAGTGTTCCTGTGTGCTACCTGGGTCCTTTGTGTCATAGCTTTTGTTTACTTATTTTCATGCAAACGTTCGGTCAAACTTCATATAGCATCCGGCAGCTTGCCTCTTAAATTTAGTAGCGTATCTTGAACATCACCCCAGATGTGTGAACTTACACTTTCTAGTCTATGGGGACTTGAAACCAGAAAACAAAACATTCTCTCACCTGGACAAGTCTTTCTGTTTAAATCTGTCTGAGAATACAAAAGCAGTTGGAGAAGGAGTCACCAAAGGTGGAGGCTTGAAGATCAGGAGACAAGAATCGGGACAAGGAGAGGGAGGAAGGCAGGATGGGGAAGAGAACAGAAGGAAAGTGAAGTTCTGAAAACGTTTTGCCCCCCACACAGAGTGGACGATGTGGTGAGATCGATGTACCCTCCGCTGGACCCCAAGCTCCTGGAGGCACGGTGAGAGGGGTGGACGGGCCATTGGGCTTCTCCTGCTGGAAGCTTCCCATTCCGTCACATCTGTGAGGTTCGGTGTTTGGGTTGCTGGGAAGAGCGCTGTTTTGCTGGGCTCCCAGAGCTGTGCAGGCTTTGGGCACTGTTCATTGCCGTGTGAATGGTGAGAGAGGCCCGTACTCTGCCTGAAATCTGGGATTAGGCAGAGCCAGTCTTAGATTTTGAATTTTTACACTTTAACATCTGGCCATGCTAAGACCTGTCTGCAACTTTCCTCCCTCCCACTTCCCTCATCGGCTGCCTCTGCTCTTTGGACCCCGGAAGCAGACACACCCCAGCCGTGAGTGCTGCCCAGCGGGTGGGTGGGGTAGGTGTGGAGCAGGGCCAGGGGAAGGAAAGGGAAAGCTCAAACTGTGTTCCCTTTCCATGGGACAAAACCGGGACCCCTCCCCTTTCGAGATCTTCGAGATCTGCCCCCTAGTACACCAAGTACCCTTAGGCTTTTGAAATGATGTGCCCTCCGGATTCTTTTGTCTCTTGGATATATATGACCATTTCTTGGAGCTGTTGTGTGTGATGGTTGCCAGATAGACAGTGGCTCATACCCGTGTCAGATTGCATTTAAAAAAAAAAAAGATTTTATTTATTTGATGGAGAGAGACAGCGAGAGCAGGAACACAAGGAGGGGGAGTGGGAGAGCCTGATGCTGGGCTCAAACCCAGGACCCTGGGACAATGACCTGTGCTGAAGACAGACGCTTAACAACTGAGCCACCGAGGCGCCCCTTCAGTTGGCTTTTCTGTCCCGCTCCTACTGCCGCCTAGTTGTGTCCACAGACTGTGTCCACAGGCTGGAACTGTGTGATACGTTCCCAAAGACATGCACACTCACTATATAAATGATATTCTACGGTGAATTTTCCAATACTGGGGGGGGGGGGAACCACTCCTCCTCAATTTGGTTTTCAATTAAATTTTGTTTTTCGAGCAGTGTAAACCCACCTGGGGCCTTATTGATTCAAAATCCGTGAGGGATGCCCCAGGCAGGTGTATGCCTAGACTTCCCTGTCTGTAGCGGGCCGTGGTTGGAGATGTGCTCGTCTAATTGACCAGAACCGTACTGTCCTACAAAATCCTGACCTGGGAGATGTTCATAGGTATGCTGCTGAAAATAGGCTCCCCAGTCTTAAATAAGTTAGCCAGCCATTCCCTGTTGTATTCTTTCCTGAGAACTTTACCATGCATGTTCAAAGCCCAGAAGAGGCTTCAGTTAACCTTGCTGAAACCATCCATTCTCAGATTTATTTGCACGTGGAACCATCTTTAAATTACCCCCCAGCCTCCTGGGGAAGGGCCTCCAGTTTGGAGCACACCAGACTAGTGTCTGCCTGCATGGGCTTTGGTGCCAAATCCCTCCTTTCCTGGGGAAACTGATCCCGGTGCTTTTTCTAGGACAACTGCCCTGCTCCTGTCAGTCAGCCATCTGGTGCTGGTGACCAGGAATGCCTGCCACCTGACCGGGGGCCTGGATTGGATCGACCAGTCACTGTCAGCCGCTGAGGAGCACTTGGAAGTCCTTCGAGAAGCAGCCCTGGCTTCTGAGACAGATAAAGGCCTCCCAGCCCCTGAAGGTTTCCTGCAGGAACAGTCGGCCATTTAATGCCTGCTGCCGTCCCCGGGTGGCTCCTCAGATCCTGGGAGCCTTCCCTATCCTCTGCCCTGCACCTGCTGCCCGTAGTGTTAGGTGTTCTCCGAGGCTCTGTGTGTAGCTGCGGTCTTGGTTGCAATGGCCCGTGGCGGCTGGCGAGTGGCAGTCTAACACCACAGTTGGAGGAGACGACCGCCACCCTCTGTGCAGCAGAGCTTTAGAAACTGATGGAGCGGCCGCTTTATTGAGCTCACCTAGTGTTTTCAAGAGAATGGAGCCACCATCTAAAAATCACAAGGTTTCGCGTTAAAATCAGAGTCTCTGGCTTCTCGTAGACAATCAGAGGATAAGGCAACTCTGACATGCATCAGAAGAAAATCAGCTGGAGCTCAGTAGGCGCTGTCTCTCTCCACAGGGCTGGTACTCCCTCGCCCGGGATGGTTCATTTATTTGTAGCATCTTCCTGGGCCCCCGAGGCGTCCAGAGTCCCTCCTTCCCTTAACCAGGTTTGGCTTTGAAAGTGAGCTTCACGGGGTTGATTCTTCCCCTTCTGTCCCTGTGCCTGCAATTCTACCTACCTACCACTAGGAGGACAGTAAACTTTCACTGAGATTTCCGTTGAGTAGTGGTTATTTAATTCAATATATGGGGTGCGGTGGGACGTATTTGAGAACCGAGGATGGAGGAAGACAGCCTAAGAATCCTGAGACTATCTTGTGTGTATGACCCAAAAAGAGGCATTAAAGGCCCTTCAGAGTTTAGGCAGAAGTACCCCCATAGTAGTTTCCACATGAGCACTAACATCCATGAAGGATGTGTTCCCCTTGCTTTTGGGGTCTCTTTGTTTTGCAAATATTGAAAGATGAGGGGCATTTTTATGATGGGAGACCTTTGCGGGACCCAGAATCACAAAGGCATAATCTGGACGTACATCCAAATCGCACGATTGCCGTCGAGAGCATATCAGAGAGACTGATGTACGTTGCTCTCTCCCAGGATCATAGAGCCACCCTTGCTCTCGGAAGTGGACCCTGACTAGGGAGCTGCCTTGGTTCACATGCCGTGCTGTTTAGCATGTTCCGGTCCCATTGTCAGCTGATGTGTCAGTCTGATTCTAGAGATGCAGGAACCTATATTCCCAAGTCCAAGATGGGGGCCTTGTTTGTCACTGAAATGTGCCATTGGGCACAGTCCGTTCTTTCCTGGAAAGCAGGATGCTTCTGACCATCACGTTGTATACCATTCCCACCAGGGAAATGGAGTCAGGAGCAGAAAGCTGGAGTTGGCTCTCATTGGACTGATGGATGGGTTCCTGATTATGGGGCACTTTATTGGATTGTCCTGTTCCCATCAGCTCTGACCGCATGTTAAGTGTCACTAACTTTCTTTTCCTGCTGGTAGGCTGGGAATGGGTCATGTCCACAAAGCCACTTGCACTTTTCCATTTGTGGACTCCACAAAAGGACATCCACGGTCCTCCTATTATTTTTTTCCCTTTTCTTTCAAAACCGGCATTTCTAACCAGATGAGAAGCAATTTTCTGTTAAGGTTGCAACGGTTGCCACCGTTGTAAGTGCCCCTGCCTTTTAACCTGGGTCTGAGCCCTAAGCCAGAGCGGCAGCTGCGGGTTTAGCATCTTAAACACCCTCCACCAGGCATGGCAGGTGGGGATGAAGTTTCCCAGCATCCCCGGAACCACACCTGGTGACACCTCTCTTCTAGGAGCCCAGGCCAGTTCCAGTACCTTCCCAGGCCAGTTCCAGTTACTGCAGGGAGAGGTTGCTGGACACCCAGGGAGTGCCTGCTAGACTGTAGGATTTCTGATTCTGCTGCTGTGTAGTTTTTCTTTTTTTCTCCAGTGATGGACAAATAAGACAACTTTGGACAAGGTAGGTGTTAGTTGACGTAGAAGCACCATCTGGAGGGGGAGGCAACCCTACTTCTCGTGGCTCCTTTGGGAGTTGGCCGAAGTTAGCTTCCTCCTTAAGAGAGTCTGTTTGGTGAGCATGGGGGATCCAGCCAGATGTGGTTTCCCAGAGGAGGGACACATCCCAGGTCCCCAGTTCCCTAGCATCTTTGTTTATAGTGGCAGATCTTCTATGACATGCAGCCCCCTCCCGCCCTGATTCAAATTTGGAATGAGGAAGGAATTACTCAGGGATGGAAATTGGGTATGAAAAGAATAAGATCTTTGAAATCAAACAATTAGGTTCAAATTTGAACACTGTCATCTACTGTGTAAGCTTGGACAGGTTGCTTAACTTCTCTGGTCCTTACCTTTCTTATCTATAAAATCAAGGCTGCTTCCTACCTCACTGGGTTGGTATGTCAAGTAATGTGAAATGCCCAGTTATGCACCTGGTACTCATTAGCCAGTATTAATGCTTTTCTCCCTGAAGCCCCCTGCCTTGCCTTGAGGCAGGTGACCCAGAGGTAACACCTCAGTTACCATGGCTCTGTCCAAGCAGGGGTCTCTGTTCCTAAACTCTGGAACTGAGTGGCCAAAGTTCTGGAATCACTGCCGTTGGGAGAGTGGCCCAGCCCTGTCCCGGCCCTACCCGAAGTACTTTGCACGAAGGTAGTCAGAACTCCTGGCCTCTTATCAGTGTTCCCAGGGTTGATTGCTCAAGCTCACATTCCTCCAGAGCACCGCCCAGGGAGCCTCCTCCAGCTTGTGGAATCTTCCAGGCAGAGCACATGTTCCTGGCATCCATCTCACCCTGACCTGCCTCATGCCAGAGTTCCTTCTCTCCAGAGACTGCTCTCTGTGCCCACCTGAGCCTGATCTTTAGAAAACGACTTCCAGGGAAACCTGCATGGCTCAGTCTATTAAGCGTTTACTTTCAACTCAGGTCAGGATCCCAGGGTCCTGGGATTGAGCCCCACAGCCGGCTCCTTGCTCAGCAGGGAGCCTGGTTCTCCCTCTGCCTGCCACTCCCCCCTTCTTGCGCTCTCTCTCTCTCTTTCTCTCTGACAAAAAACAAACAAACAAACCAGAAATGACTTACTGCTCCAAGCCCCTGCATTGCTTTATGACCTGGGACAACTCCAGAAGGTGTCAAATGAAGCTTTTCCATCTCTTTCTTCCTTTTGTCCCTCTATCCTTCACTCCCATCTCATCCCTTCCCTGTCACCCCTCCCTCCCCCAAACGTCCTGTTTGCTCACTCTGGGGGAAATGTGCTAGATGCTGGTGCTGTGAACGGAAGGCACCAGCCCTGCCCTTAGGAAGCAAGAGGGACCAATAAGCCATGGACTGAGCCTCAGCTGTGGCAGTGTGCTGGTGGGGGAGTGCAGAGCAGGGGAGAGGGGAGTCAGATAGGGAAGAGACCAGGGAGGAACAGTTGCCGCTGTCGAGACCGTCAACTGACCGAGAGGTGTTCTGGGTAGACTGGACAACACAGAAAAGGGCCAGGGGAGCATGGCTGATTTGAGAAATGCGGAGGCTGGGGTGTGGGATGGACAGGGTGTCAGACCATGCAGGACCCTATAGATATATTGAGGAGCAGACCTTTGAGCATAACCATGACCATAGAAAGGCTTTAAGCCGGGGAGTGACTAGGTCAGATTTGCAATTTCAAAAGAGTTATTTACTTCATGCCCTATGACGTTAGGCTCAGGGACCCAGAAATTTGCCCGATATCACTCTGACTCTGAGTCTGAGGGGCTCGTGACTCAATCGTGGTAAAAAGCAGGATGGACAGCCGGTTAGGAAGGAGGGAGAGGCTGTAGGCATCAGAACAGAAAGTGCTGGAAGGTTCAAGCTGGGGAGGCTTCTGGTGGATTTTGGTGATATCTCTGTCAGAAAAGCTGATGAGCTGAGTTGTAAGAATTCATGGCATAACTGGGTCCTTGCTGTTTCATCCCATCAGTGTTTTCATCATTCCTGTCTTACAGATAAGGAAACCATAGCCTAGGAAGATCAGTAACTTTCCTGGAGTTCGGAAGAAACAGAGCAGGAAGTTCTACTCCACTCCCCACCTTGATTTCTCAACCAACGACTTCAGCCTGCCTGGGGCTGGCGGGTGGGGAATCCTTGATGGGGAGTAGCAGATACCAGTGTCCATTTTCTTCTAGCTTTAATATTTTTCACTTAGAGAAAAATGATGGTTGTGACCCATAAATTAATTTCATGGCTCACTAATCAGTTACAACCCACAGGATGGTAGTACATGGGTACTAAAATGAGGACTGGGGCACGGGTGAGGGGCTCTCTCCATCCAACACGACTTCATTTGATCCGTTTTAAGTAAAGCGTGCATTTACCAGGGTAGTGGCAAAATTTTATGGGGCAAAATTGAATAATTAATTTATTACATGATTGATTAGTTCAAGAGTCATCTGTTGAACATCTCTGTGATACCGCAGTGAATAGAAATAGAATTCCTCTCCTGAGGTGCATACAGTCTAAGGTGGAAACATTTTTGATACAATGAGGTAAGTGCTAAGCAAGGAATGTGTGTAATGAGAGCACGGCTCAGGGGCACCCAGCCTGGCTCAATAGAGTTTCCCGCGATGGTGGAGATGTCTCAGAACTGTCAAGAAGCAGGCATTAGCAGCTGGATGCCTGGATGGCTCACTGGGTTTAGTCTCTCTGCCTTCGGCTCGGGTCATGATCTCAGGGTCCTGTGATCAAGTACTGCATCAGGATCTCTGCTTGCCGGGGAGGCTGCTTCCCCCCCCTCTCTGCCTGCCTCTCTGCCTACTTGTGATCTCTGTCCAATAAAAAAATAGTCCTTTAAAAAATATTTAAAAACAAAAAGAAGTAGGCATTAGTGGGGAGAAGGCTGGGTGAGTGGGAGAAGGTGAAGGTGGAGAGCGACAGGGGACCTCAGAAAGGCAGTGTGCAGCAGGATTTCCTTGCTGTCCTCAGGAGATCACTGCTGCTGGTGTCAGGTGGGAGGTGGGGGACATTGGGAGATAAGCCGGGAGAGCCAGGAGAAGACTAGACCCCGGATGTTTCCTCTAGGTGGTAGGGATTTATTGAAAGTTGAAACAGCTCTTATTTTTTCTTGGAAAACTACCAAGTGATCTCTGAGCCTTCCCCAGCCTTTAACGTTGTCCTGATTTGATAGGTGAACAATGGCTCCGTGTTGTGTTAATTTGCATTTCCCTGACTACTGGTGAAGTTAAACATTTTTCATGTGTTTATTAGCTATTTACTTATTCATGTCGTTTGCCCACTTTTCTCCTGGGATTTTAATATTTTTTATCGACTTATATGAGCTCTTTATATGTTGAGGATAACAACCCTTTGTCATATTTATTGCGTATATTTTCCCCAGCCTTGTCACTTGACTTTTAGTTTTGTTTGGAATGGCTTCTGATGTCCAGAAGTTTTAAATTTGGTGTAGTCAAACGGATTGATTTTCTTTCCCTTAGTGATTTCTTCCATCGCTTTTATACTTAGAAAATCCTCTCTCATCCGGAGATCAAATAAATATCATTGAAATGTTTGAAGCAGCAGAGTGCCATGGGTAGGTGATTAATAATAATATTCACAGGTTAGATGTAGTGGTAAAAAACCAAAATCAAACCAGGCAAAAAAACAGAGTGGAAGAAATCAAACCTGCCTTTATCCACCACAAGCCCAGCCCAAGGTTAAAGGTGGGAATAGTT